TCCATCTCTGATTCTTACTATCTGTATGAACTTTGACAGTAGCATTCTCTCAGATCTTTAGTTTGCTCAGCCAAAAGATGGAGGCACAGTTATAATAGTTTTAATAATTATAATTCTCATGAAGAACAAATGAGGAAACTTAACACAGAGATCTTAGCACACAATACCTGGAGTAAAAATAGGGCTCTGTTAATGTTAGTTTTAGATGGTAATGATGATTATGGTGAAAATAATAATAATTATAAGCCTGAAGTTGCATGGCTATATATAGCAAGGGAAGGTTTTCAGTATGAAGCCAAGAGTTGAAAAGAAACATTCTAACCAAAGCCTTCTTGATGACTGAAATTAGTTGATAAAGATTAATAAATTGTGAGAAAGATAAAAATTTTCTAGTTGCTTAGCATACTTTTGCTTAAATTTTTTTTGATGCTTGACTCATTTTGCTCCATGTAACTCATGGTTCGGATGCATGGGTTCCTACTTTTCATATCTTTTAGGGAAAAACAAGAGGACACAGAAGAAGGTTAAGTCTTGGGTGAGGTGATATGATAAAACTGCTGGTATGTTTGTGTGATTTGAGAACAACTGTTTCCTTACAGACCCAGCTGTAATGGCTGTATGGCAAAGATTTTTACTTTTGTGAATCTGCATTCTAATTTATTATTGATTTCATATTATTTAAACATTGATAATTAAGCAATTGATTTACTAAAGATTGAACAAATTTGCTCTTATGCCTTTGGCTGATTTTCTTGAAGCTTCAATGATTGTGGGGCATGTCATTATATTTCTTACAGTTTTCTTTTCCTTATAATTAGCAGTTTGCACTAGATAATCTCTGAGAATTCTCCTACCTATCCAATCTTGTAATTCCATGATTTTCATAATAAGCTGTCTTGGGCTTATGACTCTCAAACTTTCAGTTTGAACAATGCAGTTCTGAGGCATTGTTAGACACTTGTTCTTTGCTAAGAATTAACACTTACATTGACTCTGAGTTAACATGAGTCTTTAATTTGGAAAGCTAGCTTCTCAAAAAGTACTTTCATTTATTGGAAAGGTCATGCACAGAATAAGTATCGTGTACTTCAGTCCCCAGTTGGGCTAAGGAGGGGAAGCTTACTGTTACATAGATTTACTTATACCACTAACACAGCTATTATAATCCACTCTGTTTTTAGAAAGTGAGTGATAATCAAATAAGACATTATTCTTAACAGTTACTTATTTTTTAAAATCAGCACATTGTAAAAGATTAGCCATGTTGGCATCTTTATTTTTTGATGCTACTATAGTCTTTCTCCTAATGACTTTTTTTGTAAATGCCCACTTCTTTTTCTCTGCAGTTTGTGGTTGTAGTTTATTTTGATTTTCTTAAGTCTTTTCATTATGTATTAGTTCTTTGCATCAGACACCATGAACTCATGAGAAAAGCAAATATATCCAAGAGTCACCAGAGACTGCACCTCAGTTTCCAGAAATCAGGAAATTTTGCCTTTCTGTCATTAGTGTGTTTTGAGCATCTATTGATAATCTCTTTAGATACCTTTCTTTTGAGTAGGCATACCAATAAAAAAGAAGGGCTTAGGATCTGTGACAGTCATAAATGAACACAAAACTTGCTGCCATAAGGAATTTCTTATAATTTCTAAATAGCAATGATAATAACCACATTGAATTAATTTAAAGCCTGTCATCTTTGGTGACTAAGTATGCATACATATTAAAAGCACATTTTCCATAGTCATGCTTTGAAATTTAGCTCTTGAAAAACTAGTGAAGAGAATGATACCCACAGAATGATTTTCCGTAATGCCAGTTAACATAGCACTAATTAGTTTCATAGTGAATCATTGGCCTCCCCGAACCTCAATTTCATCATCTGTAGAATGTGGTAGTAGATTTATTTTTTTTATAATTTTATTTTTTTAATTTAATTTAATTGTATATATATTTTACATCATTCTTCCTTTTTGTACAATGTTTGCTTTCTCCTCTCAGGTGTAGTCTCTACAAAATTCCCACCACCAATTCACTCATGCATCATCACCGACGTCCCTTGTATAAGAACACATTCCCTCCTCTTTTTTTTTTTAAGATTTATTTATACAAGAACCAAGGTACAAGCCAGGGCAGACTGATGAAATACACGGTTGAGGGGAGCAGCAGGAGAGACAGGAGAGGTCTGCCATGCCATGTGGGTATCTCCTTGGCCGGCTGGGATCAAACCCACACTGCAGAGGCTGTGGACAGCTTCACAGTGCTGCCCTCAACTGCCTGTAACACCAGGGAGGCCCTCCCTCCTCTGTTTTGATCCCTTTCCCTCCCCCTTCCCAGCAGAGTGTCTCTAATCAATGTTTTCCTGTTAATTTTATTTTTTAATTTATTATAATTATTTTTTCCTGGTCCCTTATTTGGTTCCCCTGCATTCCTCCTATAAGTGAAACCATCTGATATTTTTCTTTTTCCTTCTGACTTATTTTACTGAGCATAATCCATTCCAGCTCCACCTATGCTGCTGTGAATGGCATGGGTTTCTTTTTTGATTGCTGAATAGTATTCCATTGTGTATATATATGTGGTAGTAGGTTTAGGACACTTTCTCAAACTTCAGCACTATTGAGATTTGGCCAATTAATTATTTATTGTGGAGGAGGATATGCAGTGTGTATTGTAGGATGTTTAAAAGCATCCCTGGCCTATACCCACTAGATGCCAGTAATACCCCTCTTAGTTATGACAAACAAAAAATGTCTCCCAACATTGCAAATATTCCCTTGGGGGGGTAAAGTTGCCCTGTGGAAAGTTACTGGTCTAGAATCTGATTTTTAAAAGGTATTTACAAACATTAAAATGGTATTCTTCTAAGAATTTACGACCATAATAATCTTTAATGCCTTGTGATAAAAATTTCTTCTATGCAGTGATATGACTGGTTTTTTGTTTGTTTTTTTGTTTTGACCTTTTTTGAAGGTTTTCTTGATAGGGTTTATTGGTATGAATTTGTCCCTTTCATTAAAAGTTGAGGACTCAGTTATCAAATGTGAAGGAGGCCACGAGAGAAAAGCTTTGAACAAATAAGCTTTTATGTTTATAGGTTACTACTGATGGTTGGGATAGACTATGTTACTAGATGAGTGATACTTAACAGTCATTAAAAAGTAAGTCCTTTGGGGCCTCCCTGGTGGCGTAGGCGGTTGAGCTCAGCGCTGTGAAGCCGTCCGCAGCCTCTGCAGCGCCGGTTCGATCCCCGCCGGCCTCGGAGCAACCCACAAGGCGAGCAGACCTCTCCTATCTCGCCCGCTGCTCCCCTCAGCAGTGTATTTCAGTCAATCTGCCTGTTCTGTTCCCTGCTCTGTCTTTCACCCTCCCGCACATCTGGTCTGTACCCCTGCTCTTGTATAAATAAAATAAATCTTAAAAAAAATTTGTTTAAAAAAAAAGTAAGTCCTTTGGTGGTTACTATAATGGAGGGGTAAGGGAGGGAAGTACATCAGGTCAAAGGGATCAATTGTAACATGAAGGATAGAATTGGACTTTTAATGGTCAACTTAATGTAGTATATATTCATGTTGATTTTTAATGATGCACACCTGAAAATTATAACTGTAATTCAGTGCTACTTCAATTAAAAAAGAAGTCTGGGCACATAATAGACATTCCAAAATATTTTTTGAACTGATGGATGGATAGATGACTCAAGGATTGAAGAATCTACTGTTGTTAACTCAAGTATCTGTAGGAACAGCAATTCATGAGTGACAGTTAAAAATGGTGGTCACAAAAGTGAAAGAAAGGGGTCATTTTTTTGTGAGCACCCTAGAACTCCTTTTTTCTTTCCATGAGTCTCCCCTACTCTTGTAGGGTACCTGCCTGCCTCTGTTTTTCCACAGCCATTTTCTTACAATTCCCTCCCTATCCTTAGTTGCTTCCCCCCGCTTCATATTTGTTGTCTGAATTGGTTTTATTGGAGGGTTTTTTTTTTTCCTTCCATATTGTATCATTTCTTTGATGCGGACATCATGAACTCATGAGAAAACAAAACCCACCCTGTTTGACTGTGAATCCACATCCGGGCATTCATAAATAGAAGATTCTTTGATCTTTCTTCTCTGGTTGTTTGAGTCAAACTATTGATGTGATTCCTGATCTTTGAAAATCATTTCCTTTTGATTTTCTAGAGATTTGTGTCCTTTTTGATTTATACTAGAATAGTTAAAGTTTTTGATCAAAGGAAACTGTGTTGTTAACTGTGAATGAATAGATGCCATGTTGACACCCTCAAAATAAGGTTATTGATTTGGTGCAGAAAAATATTTCCTCCATTCCACAGTTAAAGAAATTGAGACCCAGATTTCTTAAGCCACAGAGCCAAGCTTTTGCAACAAGTAAATAGCTACAAGGACTAGAACTGCTGGGCCCAGATATCGAGGCCAGGTCCCTAGCACCGAGATGGAGGTTAGAATTAAAGCAAGGTAGATTAATTTGGTATAAAAGTATTGAATCTATGGTACCAGAAAATTAAAACCATTTTCTTTATATTTTGTTTTTTTTAAAGATTTATTTTATTTATTTATGCATACAAGAGCTGGGGTGTAGGCCAGAGGTATGAGGGTTGAGAGGATTCACCAGAGACAGAATGGGGAGCAGAACAGGCGGATCTACTGAAATACACTGCTGAGGGGAGCAGTAGGCAAGACAGGAGAGGTCTGCTGTGCCATGTGAGTTAGCTCTCTGGCTGGGGATTGAACTCGTGCTGCAGAGGTGGCTGATAGCTTCATAGTGCTGAGACTTAACCCTTTGCACCACCAGGGAGGCCCACTATATTTTGTTTTAAAGTCATAAGAATAATTATCTAGGATTGCTACTTCACAGTACCATAACTTTGATTTTATTGGGAATGCCTTTTCTAAAATAGTCAAAATTCTTAATGCTAAGAAATTTTCTATTAGTTTTCCTTTAGTAAATGTTGCTTATGATCTGCTTCTCTTCTTTCTTAGACCTTCTCTCACCATGCCGCATAGGAATCTGACAGGAAGCTGCAATGTTAACTGTGGCTGTAAAATACATGAGTATAAGCCAGTGTGTGGATCAGATGGAATTACATACTTCAATCCTTGTCTGGCTGGCTGTGTTAACAGTGGTAATCTTAGCACTGGGGTGAGTATATTTCACATGCTCTTGTGACTTTTGTTAATCCAACATCCTGTGACAAAGGGCAGTTAGAATTCATATGCAAATGCATGAATTCAATCTTCCTTTCAAGAAACTGCAAATAACCACCAAAAATCCTTCTGAAAAAAAAAAAAAAAACAGAGAGGGAAGAAAATTAAGCAGTGTATCATCTTTTTTTTTTTTTTCGGGGAGGATTGGAGTATTTGGGTGCAATGATTTGATTCCATAGCAGCTCTCTCCTACTTTATATTCTGTGCCCACTCAGTGAAACTTGGTAAGGTTGAGCATTAGTTCTCTCATTTGTTACCCTGACAGAGCCCTTGTGATGAATTTGAAGGTCAAGACGATTACCTTAGGTGCTGATAGAAGAGAATCAGACAGCACCTCCCCTGATCAGTGAAGATGGGCAATGTCATTTCTCATAGGCTATCAGTTCAGACTTAAAAAAAAAAAACTTTCAGAGTAAAGATATTTCTGTCAGTTCAAGAATAGGCTATTTTGAGAATTCCCTTCCCTGTGAATTATAAATAGGCTGTCATACTGTGGGAGAAGGTTTTCATGTTCTACATTGGTTTCATCCTTTGCATAAGAGCAGATTGTAGGGGACTTTTAATTAAAAGGGCAAGGTGCACTTGCTGGCTATGTGCAGGCAATAAGGGATAACACCATTGACAACAGGTTTTGGGAAATCATGTTTGATTTCTGAGTTTGAAACCATAATAATAAATTAAGAATTACCGTTGCTGCATCCCCATTATGTAATTGGTGAGCTCCAATGTGTGATAAGTAGAAAGAGACCATGGGATCTGTTCTCTGTGGCTAAATCCTTCCTTGGGTGCTGTCCTCCTTCTTATGAAAAGACCAGTAATCCTTCCAGCACAGATGACCAAACAGAGCCTGATCTTTATATTTGTTCCCACTGCCACTCTAAGTGTGTGAAAGGCCCAGGGCAGCTCATGTGCACTCAGCAAAAGCAACATAATATGTAGGAAGGTTAATTAGCTGTTACACTTGCAAAACCTAGGTCCCTACATTATCTGGTTTCAAATGAAACAGCCAATGTTTTGTTCACTGTTGTCGACATTGAAGTCATCATGGTTGCGTTATGAACTCTCAGCTTTTATTTAACAGAGCTCTGAGTTATTAACTCAAAGCTCTGAGTTCAGAGCTTTGCTACATGCTCACTGAGCACAAATACAAGTCAGGCTTGGTTCCTGTTGTTGAAGGGCTTCTCAAATTGGAAAGTCCAAAATTTAAACAGCCATTAAAGTAGCCTACAGTTTTGACCAAAAATGAGTGTAGGATATGTGAATGCTATAGAATTAAGTATTGGAAGTGTCTTAAGAAGAGCTTAGATTAAAACCCTTTTGAGTTGAAAATTTTGGTATTGTTAGCCACTTTGGACAGCCTCACTGAAGCTGTTTCCAGTGGAAAATTTTATATCAAGAAAATACTGGAGTCATCACGGAGTATTTTAACTTGACTTTGTCTTAATAGTCCTATGCTGAATTTTTCTTCTGACTGGCATCAACTGGTCTTTATTGTCACTTAGATAAGGAACTATACAGAATGCACCTGTGTCCAGAGCCGGCAAGTGATCACTCCACCCACAGTGGGACAGCGCAGTCAGCTCCGCGTGGTTATTGTCAAAACGTATCTCAACGAGAACGGCTATGCCGTGTCCGGAAAGTGTAAACGGACCTGTAATACCCTCATCCCGTTCTTAATTTTCCTTTTCATAGTCACCTTCATCACAGCATGTGCCCAACCATCAGCCATCATAGTAACACTCAGGTGAGAATGGCACGCAACTCCTAGGGTGGGTGACAGACTCTGAATTGCCAGAATATATATAGTCTAGTGCTGGAGACTGATGTGGTCAATTAGGGAGCAAAGCAAAATTACTTTGTGTAGCACAGAGCTCAAACTTTTGCTTGGAGAACTTAAGAGAAGTGACCTTCCCATGACAGGAAGGTTATAACATTTGGTATTCCAGAACGTTTTGTATTCAGATGGTTCCGTTCTGATGGTTTAATGAAGTCGATTTTTTTTTTTATTGCCTTTGGTGTTTGAAGTCTCTGCTGTCAGAGCTTTAGCTTTAGGAGTTGAAAACTATCACTGTGTTAGCTACAAGATGCCTGGCCCAAAGGAGGAAGGAAATTATTTGATAAACTGCTAAATCATGCATACAGCAAAGAATATTATCTCTAATCTTGTACACAATTAATATCTACAGAATTAGTGACCATTTATGCTGGACCTGCAGTTCAAAAAGATGATTTCATTAATTCTACTATCACATAAAGTTTTGGAGTTGAATCAAGGAAAGAGCAGAGTAGGAAATATAATTTTCAGTTGCTCATGCTGTGCTTTATTTACCATGTTATACATACTGTTTGTGGTTTTTGGGCATCTAAGAGAATATTGAAATTACCCTAATGGAAGTCCTATTTAAAATGTTGACACTAGCATGGTCAAATCTATATGTTGGTATTTGCAGTAAAGACTGCAATGGGCACGAGAAAGAAGGGGGCTGTGTGGGAACAAGAAGATGACACCCACAGCAGCTTTGGTTGGGGTCGGGGGGGGGGGAGGCTGGAGGTGAAGTGCAATGAAAGAGTAAGGAAAAGGTGTTAGTCCTTTTTCTACCTTTGACTTCCTTCCTGGTTTCTCTGTACCCCAAAATGCTAGCCACCTTGTGAGAAGCACCTGGAGAGGCTTCATTTTTCAGCAGAGTGATGGGCTGCTTGTTCTGTCTATTCTGGCTTCCCTTCCATGGCATGCTGAGTTAGACATTTCCCAGCCAACCCTTGACAGTAAGATAACAGCATATGAAAGGCCAACTGGTTTAGTCACTTAATTCCTTCATCAACAGATATTTATGTGCAGCTTGGGCAAATTGCTATGAGAAAGATAAGTTGGGGAAATGATGGCGTGTGAAAATTTTACATTATTTATCTCCAAACCAATGTATGTGGGATAAAAGGGGTAAGATGCTTCATCATTTTAAAAAAAACATGGCTTATCAATAAATATACTCAATCAATTTCTTCAAATTTTACATCTATAAGACATGTTAAAAAAAACTTCAGTACGGGCTGTTGTTTGGTAGTGTTGAGACATGACAAATCACCAGTTGGCTTCTAACCCAAAATTTCAGAAACAGAGCCCTTTAATCTTTGCTAATTACAAAATCAGTAGACTTCAATCTTTCTGCCCTGTGGGAATTTACTTAGAATAAAAGTTTTAGGAAAAGAAGAACAAATGAAGTGACTGGGAGGGATTCATTCTTTCTGTAACTTTTGACTTGTTTCCTAAGTTTTTTGGCTATACTTTCTTATTCTATATTTTTCCTTGAGAAGCTACGGGAATAATTTTCACTGTATACACTTACTGTTCTGGCAAGTTAAGGCAAGCAGAGAAAAAGAATGCAGTAGTAGGATAAAATGCTGTAATTAAAAAAAAAATAGAACTGATTCTAGAAGTTCTGTTAGAACCATTTCGTCATCTTCTGCCTTGAGCTTTTATATGATTATTTACACAGTAACAATTAGAGTCAATGGGAGATTTTTGGTGTCTTCATTGGCGAGACCTTTCTTCACTGACATAGCTATCTGCAGTCTCGTTTGGCTATTGCTACATTCTAGCAAATTAAATTTTTTTGGCATATCACCTCTTTGGTTCCACCCTAAGCAGCTCTACCCTCAGCAGACTTGGCTTGACATTTATTTTCTTAAGGCCATTATTTTAAAACATTTCTTTCCTTCCCTCCCCCCTTCACTGTAGGTCTGTAGAAGAAGAGGAGAGACCTTTTGCGCTGGGAATGCAGTTCGTTTTATTGCGAACACTTGGTATGTTTCTGAATTTTCAAGTGTGCCTCTTAGTTTCTCTTTGCAGATGGCAAATTCTTACTGTCACTTAAAAATGGCAATCAAGTCAATTGCTACCACTCGCAGCTAGATTTTACAGGTTAGTGTTGAGGACACAACTTCTTTATTTTCTTCAGTGAACGAAAAGCTGACCTTTTCTGTCGTGTGATGAAACAAAACAAAAATGGACTTTAGATCAGTTTCTTTTTCACAATGAGCATAAACTTGGGCTAAATTCCCCACAGGGTTTCATACAATGAGAAATATTGAACTAAGCAACAGTGATGAACTTATAACCCTGCTCCCCCCCTTTTTTTTTAACCTGAAAGGGATAGCTATTGGTGCTCATTTTGTTCATGAAAATTTCAATTCCTTGCTTCTTTCCAGAAGTTTTATTGGACTGGGAAAAAAGCATCTCTGTCAGGTTTTCTGAGGAAAAGAAATAAAAAATTCTAAAAAGAAAAGAAAGTTCTCAAGATTGACATATAGATACCCTTTACTTATTAAAAAGAGATGCTTGTTAGAGCCATGGCAGTGTGATAAATCACAGAGTTCATTTGGCAGGAAGAATATTGCTCTGAATTTTACAAACACTGCACACCTCTGATGATGTCTTGGAAGAATGCATGGGAAATGGCATGTGAAGTAATCCATTCCCTTGATCAATTTCAATGTATTTTTAATTGAGGTCCTCATCATCCAGCCTTTTTTTTTCCTTATGTGACAGTGTGTCATTTTCTTCAGCTGTTATTTCTTTCAGTAATCAGTATCATTGTCCATAAGACAAAAAAAATTAGTTTTTTGATTCAAATTTTTTATTTCTAATTTGAAGGGTGAAACATTTTTAAAATAGTATTTTCTGATCCTTTGAAACATCAATTCTCTCTGGAATTCTAAAGTTAACATATGTTGTGGTTGATGGTCTAATCCAAGAATGAGTGCTTTCCAGTGAGCCTCAAAGGCTTCTAGATGCATTGAATGTGTGCATTTATTTATTTGTTTATTTATTTATTGGCAACAAGAAGACATTGAAGGTACCATTTCCAAAGCATCCCCTTTAAGAGAAATTCTGACAGACTTTGTTGTAGTTTGAAGTTTGCCTATACTTCTGCCTTATATTTTTGATTGAAGACAAAAGGGTGTTTTATTTTCAAAAATGGAAAATTTTTGGCAAAAGGGTAGTTGATTAGGAAAAGAAAAAAAAATAATTCATTCTTTTTGCTTGGCCTAACTCCAATACCATGGAGTTCAGGTGACTTGATGCAGCTTCAGAGGTAAAGGTAAGTAACAGGTGAATGCTGAGCATTAGGAATGAATGGAAGAAGAATACCTCAGGCATTTATTACTTAGTCAACCTAAACGTAGGTTCTATTGATTGTGAAAAAGTATAGTTAGACCAACAAGTCAATTTCCATTTCCTTAAATTCCAAAGCAAAAAGAGTTTTAAGTACTTTAATAACATTAAAATTTAATTGCAGTGAGTAGATCTCATTTTAAATGAATGCAATGTATTAAAAATGTATCACTCATTGCCTCCTAGGCTATTAGCCTACCTGTCCTCCCTCCTTTTTCCCATCACTTTCTTGTGACTTTATACTCTTCTTGAAGGTCCATGGGCTGTGCTAATAGATCCTTGATAGCCAAGCTGATAGATGCTTGACTCCTGCCATTAGCTTATGGGTAACGGATTTGCAAACAGTTTAAATCCAACCTGATAGTTGATAACATGGAAGGATATATGACATGAAAAGTGAATAAAGTAGCATCTAAATGAGTCAGGAATTGAAAGGAAGCATCAATATTTGCAAGGTGAACAAGTTAAGGATGGGGTTGCAGTTTGGCAAAGGGAGTAACATGTGATGAAGGAAATCTACTTGGGTAGATTTTCTTATGGGAGTAAAGAAATGCCTACATCATAGTCCAAACAATAAAGCTACTACTCATCACATATGTTTCATAAACTTCAAAGATGAATTTTATGCTGTAATGAGTTCCATATCCCAAGTGCCTTTATACAATTGCCATTTGATGTGGTTTCTGACATAGGGGAGACAATGCTTTCCTCATATTCTTCCTGCATGTAAACACTAACCCACAAAAACTAGGGCACTGAATTTCAGTGCATAATAGAAGGTTCTAGTATAGCCTCTGGAGTATTTAACAACAAAATTTAATTTTTAAGTTTAAAAGGATTTCCTAATTGCATTTTTAGCAACAGACATTTTTATGTTCCTGAAAACCAATAACACATTCTGACTGAGTCACAAACTGGAAGATGTAAAACACTTCAATTTGGTGAACATTTTTGTAGTAAATATAAGATGTGACATATATTTAAAAAAATTGAGGCACATTGGAAGATCACCCCCTTGGCTTATTTTAAAGCAAACCATTATATTGCTAATTTATAGATCTGTTTTGTCTTAAAAGGTGTGCTAAATATTTATGTTTTTCTCCCCCACCCCACCCCCAACTTTAGCATACATTCCTACTCCAATTTACTTTGGCGCAGTGATTGACACCACCTGCATGCTCTGGCAACAGGAGTGTGGAGTGCAGGGATCTTGCTGGGAGTACAATGTCACGTCATTTCGTTTTGTCTATTTTGGTTTGGCGGCTGGCCTCAAATTCGTTGGCTTTATTTTTATTTTTCTGGCCTGGTACTCCATTAAATACAAGGAGGATGAACTGCAGAGGCAGAGGCGGCGAGAATTGCCTCTCAGCACTGTGAGCGAGATGGTAGGGCATAACGACAATGCCAGTAAATATGCCCGAACTAGATCTTGCCCTGTGTTCCACACCCAGGGAGAATTTCATGAAGAGACTGCTCTGCAAAAAGGGATCCAATACACAGCACAGACCTATCCGGGTTCCTTCCCAGAAGCAATAAATTCCTCTCCAGACCCAGAGCTGGAAGACAGCCCTGCTACCATGGAACAACCCTCCTGAAACTTGAAAATGGAAGACTTTAGTTTTGTTGGTTGAGTTGAGTATGGCGACTTGAGAAACACCCGTGCCTTGTTTTCTTTCTTGCTTTTTTAACCTCTAAAAACACAATCCTCAGACCAACAAAACTCAGTATACACAGCCACTACTGATTGAGGGCTGGATACCTCACCAAGACTGAGAGCCTTTTCCCCCCTTCTCTCCAAGAAGGGGCATTTAGATAGATTTGTTACCATTTCTGCTATGATAATTTAATGCTCATACACCAATAAGGTACAAAGCTGATGTACATGATTAACAAAATCATGGAAGTGTAATGGCAGTACATATCATTGGGATACACTCCAAACCAAGGTGAGCTTGACCATGACTTTTCATTTACTAATGGAAAGCTTTAGATCTGAACACCTACTGTGAGTTCTGCTACAAAGCACAAATGAATTTGCCTCAACTATGCAATCTGATTGGGAAAAAGTAAGTGTGGCATGCTACTTTTGTTTTCAGAGACTGAAACAGACATGTTTTTGAAAAGAGGAAGCTAAACTTTCCCTAAAGTACTGTTAATTGCATTTTAAGCCATAGCAGAGTTATAAATCAGGTAGAGTTTTTTAAATGCTTCAAAGGAATCATATGAATGGCATGATAAACGAATAGCTACTTCATTTCATAAGACATATTCTTTTAGTCTGTCTGCCTGTCATAAGGTAGAGAAGCTGCTGAATCATAAATCTGATAGTTTGAATATGAAATTCAGTATTTCATTAACTGGCTAAACGATAAGAGTTATAAATTGTAATTTGAGCTGTATACCGAGGAAAGAAACTGATGACTTTTTCATCCAAGAAATTGGTCAAAATTTCTTTTAGTTTTTAAAAGCCCACATAAAGGTAGTTAAAAATTATAACTCAAAATGATTGGAAAAAAAATTCCAGAGAAGTAAGATTGAGTCATTTCAGTTCTATGCCTGGAAGCACTAACAAAGTTGTATTTCCTTTTTTATCTACATAAATGTGCCATGGTGGCTTTTCCTGAAATTGAGTAATTAAATCAGGAAAGTTGTACCCGGGATATAAAAATTGCTCGAAAAAAGGAGGAGGGAGACCTGGGAGTTGGGCCTACAATATGATCCTAATTAATGATAGGAAATTATTTAAACTGGTCTCTCCTAATGAATCTTACTTTATCAGAGTTAGAATCATTGCAAACCTCTCCTTGATTACATCCCAAGGTCACCTTCCTGAAATAATTCTGAGAGAGGGTTTTTCTGTTCCTGAATGCACTTTGGATTATACTTCATCATTCTTTTCAATACATCCCTGTACATCATGTTGACTTAGGCACCATGCAGAAAGTTCTCAAGATAGATGCAGTATGGACTGATAGATAGAAAGTTAACTCATGGCGTCTGGCTACTTAGGAAAAATCATGACACTTCAGATTGGAAGAAATTAAAAGGACAAAACACCAGCAGTTTCTGCCAAGGTACCCATGCTTCTTTAGGATTAATTTGGAGAATGGCTTACATCTACCGTAGAAGGGATGTGGCCGACAGAACTGCCTGATGATTCAGGCATTTTGTCCTCCATCCTTGACTGCACTTATGGAGTTGTATGACTATTCCCGGGTAGAGGGTAGAGTTGTTTTCTTGTCTAGGAATGGTGTTGGTTAAATGTCCTCTTGGTTGCATGCAGGTTTTGGAGGGGGTTCTCACTGCTAGACCGAATGATGTCTACAAAGTTTTGTCTCAGTGGTCTCAGGGGACCAGGACTTCACTTTAAGCAGTTTCAATTGGCTAAATCATAAGAAGTGCTGTTGCTGTAATTGCTTTGGTGTCTATCAAACTTTGGTCAATGTGGTGCAGGTTGAACGTCCTCAGAGAATATTGCTGATGAACCTATTGTCTACTCTGCGAACTGAGATTTCACTCTATGGGAAGTTTGATCCTTGACCAGAGAAAGCTCCAATTTATTTTGGAGCTAAACAGATGTAGGTTGGGGAGAGATGGTATTTTCTTAATTTCTCCTTCTTTATTAAGAAACGGCATCTGGAGAATTTGGTGGGATTGGCACTTTTTGTAACTCAGATTGTGTGTTCTAACACTGTTAGAATTTCTCTCCTCTTGGTAGTATATTTTGAAAAGGATCCATTATCACAACTCCAGAGTAGTGAAATGATGGCTTCACCAAGTATTAGAGAGGCATTCTTTCTCTACATTGAACAGTCATTCAGTTCAGCAATTATTGAATGAGCACCAATTATCTATAAGGCACCATTTTACTCAATTACCAACTGTCACTCCATGAAATTCTTGGGAATCAATAGGCCAGAGCTCCAAAAATTGACCCTGCATCACAATGTTAATATTGTACTTCCTTGAGCATCTGATACTTATAAATAGCAGGTTTATCATTAATGTGTTTTTGGTGAATATAGAATAAGTAGTAAAAGTTATGGGAGATGATGTTTTGGTATAAGTAACAATTAAGAGTTGTTCCCCAAAATTTGGATTCTAAGTAGCATCATTGGAATATTACGTAATTAACTAAAGTGACTGTTTTGTAGACAACACCGTTTAATTGTGTGTGTGAGGTGCTTATATGTTTAATACTTTGTGATCCTTTATAGTCACAGCTCCTATTATAAGTTTTAATTGCCACTCTCCATGAGTTTTGGCTTTTAATTACTTGCTTTGGGGAAAGATCATCTTGTTCCTTTATAAACTCTGTAGATTAATGTACTGTTTGACTTTAATATGCAAATACCATATCCTGAGTTGAGCCTATTAATTTAGAAACTCTCAAGAGCTGGGGTGGGTGATTGTAGCACATTCGTATAGTTATCTTCATTAGCATGAAGCCCTTATCCTCTGTAGGTGGATTTAGTTCTTGAAGACAGTCAAGTCATTTAGAACTAAGGTGGGAGATAGGAAAGGAGGAGCAGAGAGGAAACAAATGAGCATTTGTAGAGAGTTGACTATTTGCAGAGCATTCTGTCAAACACTTACTATTCATCACTGACTTTAATGCACTCAATAACTTTGAAAGATAACTATTTTTATTCTTTAAAAAAAAAAACAGATCATACAAACCAAGGATTAGAGAGGTAAAATAATTTGTTTAGAATTATACAGAGTGGCCCATAAGCTTCAGAGTAGGTTTCTCTGTCACATTGCTCATTGCTTACAGCACCTGTGCATGCAATTGCTTTGGTAAACAGAGGCAAGACGTGACTATAAAATAGTAAGCTGAAGTCATTTCATTCTTTTTGATGTGTCACTGTTGCTGAAGAGTAGAGAAGTTTACTTCTTTGTGTAAAGTAGAAAAAATATCTAGGAAATATAAAAATGTAATGCCCTGATTTCAAGGTAAATTTACATTTATTTAGCTATTATATTCAAAATTGTCATAATATACCTCAAGTATTTATAGTCATATGTCTTATGGCACAAATCCAAATTTTGGTGTTAACATCAAGTCTCAGCAGCGTTTCTTAAATGAAACCAGAGGAAGGGCAGTTCAGATTTGTTGAATCTGAGCATTGGGGCTTTCAGGTGTGTGTATTTCCCCCTTTCTCTTTCAGAATGTCAACATTTTCATTGGTTTTTTTGATGTATATTCATTTTGTTCCCTAGAATACATGAACATTTTATATGAACATACAAATAATGTTCCATGATAAATGAGCATTTCTGAACTGTTATATTATGCACCAAACCTCTGGTCCAATTGGTACCTTTAGTAGCTTTGGTAACAAACTGTAGCATGCATTTGAAAATGCCCACTCTCAGAAGAGGGAGTCACCTGGAGGAGGGCTTAGTGGAAGTTATGGCAATCCTGTATATTCACCAACCACCTGGAATGTTCTTCCTTAGTCCACAATGCCAGCTTGCAAATTCTTGGGTGGGCTTGGAACCAGAATGTTTCTTTCTGCAGCCTGTTGTATGTCAACTGTACTTGCTCCAAAGAGTCATAGTTTGTAGGAAACTGATGCATGTATAGAAATTCTGTAATATGCACAAGAGCAATAGGAAAGTCCAAATCTGGGAGCCAAAAATCTTATGATTTTTTATGAACTTAAAATGTCCTAGATGGCACAAATATATGAATATAACTATTGATATATAGGGGCATACTGGGAATTCCAAGTAGCAGATAGATATCAAAATATTGTATAATTCCAGGATTGTCTAGACTGCAGGTTTGCTAATTCTCTGTCACCCAGACCTGTAGGTAGGCTTACATGTTTTGCATTTCCTCTTTCCTAGTACACAAGGGAGTGCCCTGGCTGCCAGGGGAAATTAGTGACCTGGTGCACTTGATCTTTTCTGTCTCCTCTCCTTTTCTCATATTCCAGGCTGCTGCTGACTCTATCTGTCCCAGACTTCTTGCTACATTGGAATCAGATCTGTGTATGTTTGAAGAGGTTATTTTAAGCATCATTTTTACTCAACCCTAGGAAGGGTCAAATATGCTGAAAACCCTCCCTAGATGTTTGCCTTTGCAACAATACTGAAAAAAAAATGCGTCGGTGCTAAAAAGTATTTGATGATGCACGCTTACCACAAAAATGTGCCACTGAATTTGCAGTATTTCACTGATAAGGGGCTGCATGTGCTCTGCTTTTGGAAATCTGGAGATCTTCCCAGAAATCAAGCACTCATTACTCTCATTACTACAGTTAATCTTGAACTTTACTCTGCAAAAATGAAGAGTATAAGGGGGAATACTTTTTCTATAGAAAACTCAGCGCCTTTGATATTTATTTTAGCAAGAATAATCAGATGCTAAAAATAATTTCAGAGAGAAGAGGGAAAAATATTTCAGATTATCTTTTCTTATTTCTTCTCCAAAAAACTTACACCCATGTAAGGTGTTTTTAATATTGGGGTTTTGAAGGTGTTGTCTTTTCCTGGTTTCCTATTACATGTTATAATTGAAGGAGAAGATATTATTGACAACTGCAGTATTTGCAGGGACATATTAAACCAAAGGGGTGAACAAAAATGTTTTAAGTTTGTATCTAGAAAGGGATAATAAGAATAATTGGTAAGACTTTATAGTGGGCATTTTTCTTAAAATACATACCTCTACCCCAAACCCCAAATGTTAATTTGGAAGCATGAAACAGGCAGGTCAGTGTCTGACTCTTTAGTTAAAGGAAATGTAATACTTGTTAAATCA